AACGTGGTTCAAGAATATGTGATGGAAAAGAGATTCTACCAAGGTCCATTCCTGGTCTTAGTTGTTTTAATAAATCCCAAATAATTGATTTACCTTCTTCAGTAGCATCAAAGAATTCTTTTAAAGTATTTTGTGCTAACACATAATGAGATGTCGACTTTTTATCTAACAATGAATCAACATCAGCTATATCTTCTATATCAGAAGAAGAACTTGCTTCTTTTATTGTAACAGGTTCTGATGAATTAGGATTTACATTTGGTTCAGCTACAATTTTTGGGCTTTGAATAGGAGTTTTATTTTCAATATGTGCAGAAGGATTATTATATTTAGTATATGCTAAAGCAAAAGCATTTTCAAATTGACTATACCATTCTTTACCACGAGAAATATTTTCATCTCTAAAGACTAATATATTGTCATGATATCTTGATAACTTTTCTCCACATAACCCATATTTATAACACATTGTCTTATTAGTTGCTTCTATTTTAAAACAAAATCCAGATAATTTAGATTCTCTTCTTGATAATATGGCGTCACATAAATTAACAATAGCATAATATTCCATTTTATTTAATTTCTATTAGAAATAAATAACAATATAATTATTAAATGTAATATAATTAAAAATCATATCAAACTAATTCTGATTCAAAAATAAGTAAATAAGGTGTGGTTATAACAATATAATATTCAAAACCTTGTTTTACTATTTCTATTAAAAATTAATCACTATGCTCTTTAAATATTTCATCTTAAATAACAAACCATTTCTTAATAAGATTGTTCCTTTCATTGTTGATCTATTTAATAAATCTTCATGAATTGATGCAATTTGAGTTAATGGAAGTTTTTCACGTATTTCTGGATTTAATGCCATGAAACTAAAATATGGATATTGGTATTGGAGACTCATTGGTATAAGCTTTTGATTATTAGATTTTTTAGATGGTGTTTTTGTATGTTTTTAATTTTATTTTAAAATTAGATAATCTGACGTTTTAAATATTCATATTTTTTTACTTAAAAAATGATTGAAATAATCTTCTTATTGATTTTTTTATTATACTATTCTTCCTTTTTTTTTAAAAAAAGCTCCTTTTTTAATTCTATAATATTAATAAATACAAAATACACAACTATTCTTTATTAATGAGTATCTTCAATTATTGTTTTTGTAATTCAATTATATATTCAACTATTTATAAATAAAATAATGTTTAATTGAATGGTTGAATGTAAAGTTTTTTGTTTGATTTTACATAAACCAAATTTACAAAAAGTAATTTCTAATTTGATATAACGAAGTCAAATGATGGAGTTTAAAAAGGTTAAAAGTATTTTATGAACAACATAAGAAAAAACAAAATTAAATAAAAAAAAGATAATAGTATTTTTAATTATAAATTTAAATAAAGAAACTTTAAAAAAAAAAAAAAAGAAATGGAAAAATAAATTTGGATGGAGGAAGAATACTCAAAGTTTATTCAACAAATATTAGAATTAGAAACTGACACTAAGAAAAAACAACAACTTATTACTAATTTAAATAACTCAGAATTTCAAAATAAATTTTATCTAAAAACAAAAGAAAATATTGAAACTATTATTAAAGATGAGAAAGTAAGACGAGTATTTCATATTTTATTTCCTTATTTTCTTAAACAATCTTTTAGAAGAATAATATTATTATTATGGAAAAGTATTGATTGGGGAAAAGTTCCACTTGATCAATTACAAAAATTAATTAGACTATTTGTTGATAACTTTAATATTAATCAAGACAAATACAGACAAGCTATTCATGACTTATTAAATATAAGAAATGATATAGAAGAATATACTGTTCGACGTATTTGTTCAAATACTATTAATATAGATTATCTCAACCAGTTCTTAAATGAAACTAAAAGTGAATCAAGTCATCATTTAATAAAAAAAGCAATTCGATCAATTCAAGTACTTCATAATAATAAACCTGGGTTAGAATACTTTTTACTTATATTTCATGGAGACTTTACAAAGACTACGGAGTACATTGAAACTGAATTAGGTATTAATGTTTTTAGTCAAATTTTAGAAGCAAATGAACAAGATGGTGAATTGCTTGAATCTAAACTTTATCATTCTAAAACTGGTCAACACGGTAAAGTCATATTTGGAAGAAAAGAAGGTAATGTTATAGAAACATTAATGTCCTTTAGAGATGCCCAAGTATCAGTTCATTCAAATGGGGCACAACGTGGTTTTATTTTTAATTGTTCAACAACTTCCAGTGCTATTATTACTACAACTAATATACAATATATTAGTAATGCAAAAATTGGAAGGTCAATTCAAAATATCTTTATTTCATTATATCACTCACCAATATATACTCGTTCTAATAAATGTGGATGTGAAATACGAGCCGTTTCACATATTTTAACTAAGTGTAATTGTGTGGTAATTACTTTTTATGATAAAAGCAATAATAAACTATTTCATTTTGATAAAAAAGATTCATCATTGTCTTTGAATTATAAAAATTATTTACCTTTTTATGAAGCTAAATCTTCAACAGTTCAACATCTTTATGATTATGATAAACTTGAATTAGTATCTGAAGATGCTGTAACTCGATTAGAATCATTTGTAAATTCAAATAACTCATTTAAACTAACTTTATTTACTAGAGCTATAATGTTTTGTCATATTCCTCTATGTTCTCAATTATATGAATTAATGGCAACATTTGCCAAATCAAATATAAATATAAATCAAATTCTTCCTTCTACTCCTTTAAATATTCAAGAAGAAGTAAAAGGTATATTACCATGGATTATTAATTTTAATTATCATTCTTCATTAAAACAATACCATGAAATTAATATTAAAACACCTACAAAATTACTTCATTTAGGATTTCATAAATTGCCATTTATCCCTAAGGAGTCTGCTGAACTATATTATTTTAGGGATGAAGGTATGGGAATGATTGATTTTGCTCCTCTTCAACATTTTAATGATAATAATCCTTTTCCACAAAAAGTTATTTATTCTTTTGATGATCTTCTTCAAGGTAGGTTTTGGGTACCAACTCAATTAAATGGGGATATTACATTATCGACAACTTTATATCCAAACCATTATCCATTATATTTAAATTCTTATAGCATTCAAAATTTAATTACTTTAGGACTATCTCAAGATTCAATTAATACTATTCTTATGGATCTTATATCCCAAATAGAAACACCTTCTACTTCAAGACATGTTTCACTTCAATTTCTTCCAATAAATCAAGAATATCAAAAAAGAGTATATGAAATTTTTAATAGATTCTTTGGTGATAATGTTAATTTTACTCAATGTGATTTACCCATCGTTAGTCATGTCATGAAAATTCTGGAAACAAGATTAAAAAGAGGGTTATTACCAATTATTAATGGTGGTACTTTTATATGTAAAATTGATGATAAAAATATTCTTCGTTCAGGAGAGGTATCACTACATCTTAAATCATTTAATAAAGCTGATTTTTCATCAGTTCTAATTATGTCACCTTTCCTTGAAAAAGGAATGGTACGTCGGTTCAAGAATGTTTTACAATTAGAATGGGAACCAAATGTTGTGTATTTTTCTAAACAAGACATTGACTATTTTAACATTCTAAACAGATTTCAAAATAAATGTAATTGTATTTGGGATACTATTATTTTAAATGAAATTGGTCAATGTAAATACAATATTCCTCCTAAAGAAAATAATTCTTCTTTTGTAGGAGATAATTATCATACATTTATTAAACAATATATAAAAATAACATCAGAAAGAGTCTCTACTCAGAAAGTACATTCTTTGATGGCTGAAATTCTTAGTCCAATGGAGAGTACATCAGTTACTTATTCTTTTATGCCACCAAGAAGTTTTAATATTGTATTTCAACCTCCTTTAAGAGTAACAAAAAAACAAAAAATTACTGGCACTTGGTCACGAACTTTCTTCTTTTTATTAGATGGTATTTCTCAATACCGAAGACATTTTGGATGTGATGAATTCCCTACCTCTTGGGTATTGCAAATACTTGGAAATATAGATGACCCTTTCATTGGATTTCAATTATCTGAATTTTTTGAAGTAGTTGATAATTTCCATATTACAGAGCATATTAAAAATGGAAATAATGCTCTCTTTTATGGATTAGTCTATCTTCTAACACAAGAAGAAGTTGTGAGTGAATTTGTTTCAAATTATGTTGAATTAAGTCACCTTGAAGAAATTTGATTGATTAATAATAAACTTATTGTTCTTTCTTTTTTTCTTTTGAAATTAAAAGTTCTTGGTTATTGATTTATGTGCTGTTATATTTATAGTGAATAGTACATTCAATTAGCTAAGTTATAACATGTTGGAGATATATAGTTTATATAATGTTTTATAACTATTATAAATTTGACTTAATCCTTCATTTAAAAAAAAAGAAATGCCTTATTCAAATCATTATCAAAAACCGGTTTGACCAAGACAAGTCATAAAACGAAAATGATTTGAATGTTATTGGTTAAATGAGAGTAATTTTCAAACAACATTCAACATTCAATAAGAGTTCAACAATATTTAAAATAAAGACTGTCAAAGTATAGGAATTAAAACGAAGAAAGGAAGAAGAATATTTTTTTGATAAACCTATAATTATTCCAGTAATTAAATAGTATTGTATTATATTTAGTTAATTAGTTATTTATTATTTTGAATTGTAATGAGTTATTTCATTTCAGTATTTCTTGTCTTTATTTATCATATTATTCAATACTCATTTTATATTACTCACATATTATTCCATCAATTGATTCAATATTGTTTAATTAAAAATCAAATCAGAATGACAATATGAATTTAATTAATAAAATACAATTTCATCATTCATTATTTCAAATAGTAAGTCATTATTGAA